CGGCGGTGCCGAACACTGTCGGTGGCTGCGAAGCGGATCGACTGGCAGAACGGGACCTAGAGTTGGGGCAGAAGACCGCCGAGAGCTGAATGCACTGCGAAAAATACATAGCCTCGTTGAAAGAACTTGCCAGAGCCAAGTAGGTTCAGAGTTATCCTTTTTTTTTTTTTTTTGCTTAACAGAGATCCTCCAAAAGAACACCTTTCAATGCAACCATGCGTATAAGAGTGACTAATAAAGAGGACAAGTAATAATTCGAATAGAGGCCAAGGATTTTAATACATCAGATTTTTTATCAGCAATGTGACGCCCGGCTGCCCCGCCTCTGAAGCTGTTAGTGACAGGTAGCTGCTGTGAGAGTCTCCAGGTATACATTTTATCAGGAATCTCTTTTGCAGGAATTGTAAGAAATGTTCCTGACAATTAGCTAATTCGAATTTCCTCTTGCTTTTCCTCATAATCAAGATTATTAATTTCGTAAATATTGTTAATTAGTCATTAACTACCTACATTGATAATTTTGCATTCTAAATTGCACTTTTCATGGTACAAAGTCATTCAAATACATTTAGTCCAAAGAGGATATATTGCAAACTTTTTAAGTTAAATATTCATCAATTAGGTTAGTGACATTATATAATATACTCATTTATAACTACAAAATTTCAAGAACAATACAATAATATCTTGATGGCTTCCCTTAATTTCCAATGTTTTACAACAATGATTTCTTCAGATGTCTCCTTGTTTAAATGATAAATTTGGGCTCAAATAATATAGTACTCAATTATAAAATGTTTAATATAATCAATATATATTTGTTTATTCCAATGCTATAATTCTATGACATTGCCAGTTACTTTCTCTATGATTATCTAGACCTGTTGAAACCATACCGCGAAGTACTTTGTCATATGACCTGGAAACCGATGAAAGTACACTAAGCACATTCTTGACGCTAGTCTTGTTGTAAGAATTCATATAATTTGTAACTGCTAGGGAATGAAGTGCAGTTTACCCCCATGACACAGGATACTGCTGAGATCGATTTTCTGAAAACGATTTTCTACGTGCGGTTGTGCATGGTTTCCGTCCCTCCCCCCTCCACCCCACCCCCCGAGCTAGGTTCATGACGCAGGATTCCTATCAAAGGCCTGCAGCCGCTGAAAGACCTTTAGCTGTGCTCCCGGGTGTGTTCATAACAATGGAACAGACGCATTCGGTAGTATACATTATAGTGACGGTCATGAAAACGACGACAATGGACGAGAAGGCACTGCGAGCGGTAGAAGCCCCTCTGATGCCGACATCGATACGCAGCTGTGGCAAGGTGACTAGTGGCTGCGACAGCAATGATGACCGCCACGTGAACAGCCGGAATATTATCGCCGGTGCTCGTGCAACAGATATCACTGCAGCGGCTGAAAGTGCTTATGGCTGCCGGAGACGGCCCGCGGAAGTAAACAAGCAACATGCACCGCAGTGGCGAGGAAGTTGTGTTTGCGGCTTAGCTTGGTTCCGTCTTTAACTAAATTGTCATTCTACATAGAATATCCATATTTTTGTGAATGGAAACAAAGTGTTTATTTTGCATGCCCTGCGTCTTTTTAGTAAATGTAAGCACCAGTCTCAGCACCGCGTCGAGGTTGGCAAAAACAGAATAATCGTCTCGTCTGTATTAAAAAAATTATGATTTGTACCAGCTAGAAATAAACGTTCTGAAACAAAACATTATTTTATAAAAACCGCTGAATACTTTAATATGCACAGGTGCCACGGAATATATGTTACAAATTTCTAGTGCAAGTATGAAAATCACAGATGATTACATTTATCCAATAAACACATGGGAAATTTTACTCAACGAATTTACATAAATGAAACACTTTCCCTTGATTGGTAGATAACCTATCATGCGGTGGTTGGCGGGTCACGTTCTGATCGAGAGCTTTCGTGTACCGGCCACAAAACAATACATAGGGGTTTGCCTACCATTGTGTGCAAATGACTGATGCGTAACATCATTACTTAAAATTTTTCATCTGTTCATTGGCAAAAATTAACTTGAATCCCCCTACATGTTCCCGAAGTTTGTGACATTTATGTTCGTAATTTAAGTTTGCGATGGTATTGTAAATGGTTATTAAAAAGTAGTTGCAACTTGAGGGTCAGAAAAAGATGTGATTATTAATTTTGTTAAAACCGATGGTCCTTTTCATCTCGGGTTTCTCTACCTGCAATTTACTACTAAACTAGACAAGATGTACTGTGAAAGACGTCCTTACCTAGAGAACGAAGAAGGAGAATCAGAAATTTATCTTAGGAATGGATATTTAAAAACAGAAGGAAAACGATGGGGATGGTTGGCACACAATGCAAAGAGGAAACACAAATTGGACACCGACAGTCTAAAATATACGCGAAGAAAGAACAGTAATAACAAAAATAACGCGGGATGGATAGCAATCAAGAGTAGGAAAGAAAAACAGGTGAGGTAAAGGAGATAACAAAGAGTTGTCATACGGAGAGCGTATAGTTAGGTGAGTGAAATCGATGCATGTGAAAGATATGATGACAAAAGAAATAGAAAAAAAATGAAGTAAAGAAGAGGGGGCAAAGTGAACAGAACGGTTGAACAATAATGCGGACAATTCAATTAGAAATGGAACTGTGAGCAGAGTGATGGGTACCTTCGTAGTCAAGGTAAACGAATTGTTTGAAACAATTATTTGGTATGTACCTACATATAAATACCTGTTTATAGTGATTTTGTGTCTGCTACACACAGTGTACCAACCAGATAAGTTTATTTTGGCTGACAGAAAAACAGCATGAAGACTAGAGATTGGCAAAAAGGGATTTTTTATTTATGTAAAGACAATAAAAATCAATATTTTTTGGGGCAATGTAAAGAAAATTATGTGTTAAAATAAGTATGTCACATTCCTGTGTCAAGAATGTATCTAAAACATTAGTTTTTACCAAGTACACTTCCTAAATATTTGCAATAATATTTACCAACACAGGGTAACAATTATTTGTGTCCAGTTTCCCAATAGTTCAAATTATCATTTTACATCAATTCCACAATTAAATCACCTATTTCTGTAGAGAAATCTCGACTAGAAAAACATCGGGTCTGTGAGATGCAGATTACCGCCGGTGTAGGAATCAGGTGACGTACCAACGAAGGGTTAAGGGGGGGGCAGGAGTTGCCCGGGCACATGATCTTCAGGATTGGAGGAATGGAACAAATAAATTTTCGTGTTCCCTTTTCCATTTGTGTTGTAGGTTTTCGCATCAATTCGAATATAAGACGTTTCTCCTTCTTAAGACGTCTCTCCCTAATGATAATAAACACTGGAGTAAAATGTACGTTTTTCCTATACCTAAAAATCGTTTGAACCTATCTTGAACTTGAATGTTGGAAGTGAGTCCTTCCCTTTCCTAAAAAACATTGTCTCTCCCGTAGCTACGTCACTTTGAACATAAGCTCGCTAGCGGGGCTGTGGGTGAGGTAAATGGAAGCGGGAAACACGAGCGGGCGGGCGGCGGCGCGGCTGGGCGCCCCTGAGCGACGGCCGACAGGGCCTGGGCCTGGGCCTGGTTCTGGGCCGCGGGCGCGGGCGCGGGCGTGGGCGTGGGCGTGGGCTGCGGACGTGCAGGCATCGCGGCGCGCGCGTCCGGAAGCGCTTATGCGCGCGCGCAGGAAGCGGCGCCGGGGCAATCTGCTCGCGGGGCCCATTGTGCGCGCGTTGGGATGGCGCGTGACGGATAGGGCGCGCGCGCTGCAGTCGCCCGCCCGCCCGCGCGAGAGACGACACGTCGCGATGCGACGCGCCGGTACGCCGCCCATTGTGCTCGCGGATCCGCCCGCGCCCGTTCGCAACCGCTCGCCCGCTCACCCCCGCAACCGCTCGCCCGCTCCAAC